TGTACCCCTAGACACTCCCCTTACGCTGCCCTATAAGATCTTTTGGGAGACCCAAGGAGCCGTCTTTTCTAGCCGTCCGCCATGGCGGGTGGGTGAAAGACCCGAGCTAACATGGGGTTAGCTCGTTAAATTACAATAAAGCCTCGTGCAGTTTGCAGCAAGCTCTCGAATCCGCCTGGTGATTGGGGTGACCGCGAACCTGGCCTGAGACCCCGGAAACTTGAGTTTTCGGGGGTCTAACAATGGAACTAGGACAAACCTGTGGATTCTCCTGAACTATGCCATTTCTATTTCTGTTCAATGTGTCTGTTGCGTTAGTTTTGCTTCATTTCATTGCATTTCTGTAAAATATTTGTGTTCCTACTGAAGGAACCAGACCTTCACTCAGCTCCCCCCCACCACCTGCCCCGCTTTAGCAGCCATAATAGGCTGCAGAAAAGACCCAGCAAGATGTAGGCCTCTGACCCAGCAACATGTGCTGAGCTTCCTGGCCTTGCCAGACCTCCTAGTCACTAGGAAGCCAGTTACCTCCATGTGGCACAGAACGAAAGAGAAGTTAGCTGGCAGGCTCTGAATGTGACATACAGAGCATAGCAACCGCCCTGGGAGAGCCTATAGACCATAGAAACCAGTTGACCAATCTATACAGGACAAGTCACCCAAGCCCGGAAGTGCACCGATCCTGAGATGATTTCAGACTCCAGACACTCCTCTTGCTCCACCCCAATAAATTCCCTGCCCCGAAGTCCCTCCAGGTCCTTCTTGCTCCACCTGCTGTGTCAGATGGACAGAGGAACCAAGTTAATACAGTTAACTGTCAGTTATTAAAGAAACCCTTGCTTTTGCATCAGAGAGTTGGCTCCTTGGTGGTCAATTTGGGGTCTCGTGAACTTAGCATAACACCTTCAAAAACATCCATTTAAGAGGAAGAGAAAATTATCTGAGGCACACTAAGAAGCAGAACCAGAAGAAGGCACTCCTCCACCGTGAAGGGCTTGTGCAGTCCTGGCCAGCAACCACCACAGCTGAGACTGCCTCAGAGAAAAGCCTGCAAACTATTGGTGGGTTTCCTCATCTCTAACTACAGAGACAGAAATGGGTTTGGATAGGCTCATCCCTCCCAGCTGTGGGATTCTAAATGCCTGTAATTGTACATAGATACAGCCTGTTCTTAAGGATATGTGAGGGGTTCAGAAAAGCATCACTTTCTAATTTACTCACCTAAAAAACAGCACACCACACTCATATTTATGTTTCAAGGGCTGCATTTGGAAAAAACAGCTTGCCAAAATTAAAATCTCACAACTATCAATTAACTTACTAAAATATCTTGGGATATTATTTGTCAAGAGTGTATATAATAAACCATATGGAGACATATGGAGATGAAAACAAAGGGGGCTGGAGCGATGGCCCAGAGATTAAGAGCACTGGCTGTTCTTCCAGAGGTCCTGAGTTCAATTCCCAGCAACCACATGGTGGCTCACAACCATGTATGGTGGGATTGATGCCCTTTCAGGCATAAAGTTGTACATGCAGATAGAGCACTCCTATACATAAAATAAATAATTTAAAAAAAAGAAAAACAAAAGCACTTGCATTCAATGAAATCAATTCTTTCTCTCTCTCTCTCTCTCTCTCTCTCTCTCTCTCTCTGCCTCTCTCCCTTCCTCCCTCCCTCATTTCCTTTTCCCTGGACAGGGTTTCTCTATGTAGCTCTGGCTGTCCTAGAACTCACTCTGTAGACCTGGCTGGCCTTAACTTACTGATCTCCTGACACTGCCTCCTGAGTGCTGAGAGTAAAGGCGTGCACCTCCACACTGAAATCTGCATACTCTCATTTAAAGAATTAAGGAACTGAGCTGAGACTGGCAGCTCCCAAGTATAATTCCAGTCCTCAAGAGGTTGAGGAAAAAGGATCAGGCCCGTATCCATATCTATCTCAAAGCCAATAGCAAAAGAGTTGAGGAGCAGCAGTGAAATATTTTAAAAAGACTTGATTAGGGCTGACAAGATGGTTCAGCAAGGAAAAGTACTTGCTGTACAATCCTATGGCCTGAATTGACTACTTACTAAGCAGTTAGACAATCTTTCAATGCAGAATTTTCTTTCCGGCATTTTACTACCATAAGGATTCCAGAGTCCTTGCAACATCTGGTAAAATCTGAAATTAAAAAAAAAAAAAAAAGACTTATTACATGAACATAATTACATCTCTCACTTAGAACCCATTATCCAGACTGTACAAATTCCACGCTCAGTAACATGCATGTACACCAGTAAAGGCAGACGACAACGAGTACTGCTCACTATAGAGAAGGATCTGAGAGGAGGACCTGTGAGATAAAGGCAGGGAAGCTGCTGGAGATGTACAGACTATAGACACCTTGTAGGATTTTCTAGTGAGAAACGAGCACATCCCAAGGGAAATAAGTAACAACAGTTAAGACTTCTCCCGGGACCTGGTATCTGGTGTCCAGATATCTATGATTCCTCTCAGCACATGGCAGAGGTGAAGACTTCCCTCTGATGGTCGCCATCAGAGCCTCTGCCTTCTGAAGAACTCTGCAATGTGCTCTCATTCACTACCAAGTCCCAAAACACCATAAACATGGCAGTCTTCTGTTTCTTTTCCATCCAGGAATCTCACCGTTTACACTGCACTTTGAGTCTCTGGGATGGGACCACATTCTACCCACAGCCAGGCCACCAGCCACCCTGCCTTGCACTTGCTTTGCCTCAGATGTGCTGCCCTGTCCTCCCCACAGGCCAATGCGCTTTGCCCCAAGTCTCTGCAGCAGTCCTCAGCCCCAGCAGACTGCTGGCTAACCTCCTGTCCTGCGGCCTGCCCTCCCCCATCTCTGCCCAGAAGGCCCACCTATACTGCCTGCCTAGCTATTGGCCATTAAGCTTTTTATTAAACCAATCACAGTGACATATCTTTACACCGTGTTATCAAACATCTCACAACGCCTGTATGACAAAAACTTTAAGTCTCTGAAGAAAGAAATTAGAGAAGATATCAGATAGAAAGATCTCCCATGCTCATGGACTGGTAGGTTCATAAAAACAAAAAACACAGAATAGCTAAAAACAAAACAAAATAATCCTGTATAACAAAAGAACTTCCAGAGGTATCACCATCCCTGATGTCAAGTTCTACTACAGAGCTACAGTAATAAAATCAACATGGTATTGACATAAAGACAGACCAATCAATGGAATCGGACTGAAGACCTAGATGTAAATTCACACACCTATCAACACATGATTTTTGACAAAAAATCCAAACTTATACAATGGAAATGAGAGAGAGAGAGAGAGAGAGAGAGAGAGAGAGAGAGAGAGAGAGAGAGAGAGAGAGAGAGAGCGCATCTTCAGCAAATGTTACTGGCACAAGTGGAGGCTAGCATATAGAAGAATGAAAATAGACCCACATCTATCACCCAACACAAAACTCAAATCCAAGTGGATCAAAGACCTCAACATAAATCCAGTTATACTGAACCTGATAGGAAAAAAAAGTAGGGAATAACCTTGAGCATGTTGGCACAGAAGACCGGTTCCTGAATAGAACCCCAGTAGCACAGACATTATGCTCAACAATCAATAAATAGGACTTCATGAAACTGAGAAGCTTCTGTAAGGCAAAGGACATTGTCAATAAGACAAAACAGCAGTCTACAGAATAGGAAAAGATCTTTACCAACCCCACATCCAACAGAGGGATGATCTCCAAAATATATAAAGAATTCAAGAAACTAGTCACCAATCACCAAATAATCCAATTAAAATATGGGGTACAAACCTAAACAGAATTTTCAACAGAAGAATGTGAAGCAGCAGAGAAACACTTAAAGAAATGTTCAACATCCTTAATAATCAGAGAAATGCATATCAAAATGACCCTGAGATTCCATCTTACTCCTGTCAGAATGGCTAAGATCAAAAACACAAGAGACAGCTCATGCTGGAGAGGATGTGGAGCAAGGGGATTGAACACTCTTCCATTGCTGGGGGGAGAACAAACTTGTACAGCCACTATGGAAATCTGTACGGTAATTCCTTAGAAAATTTGAAATCGATCTACCTCAAGACCCAACTATGCCACTCCTGGGCACATACCCAAAGGATGCTCAAGGACACTTGCCTAACTATGTTCATAGCAGTGTTGTTATTCGTAATAGCCAGAACCTGGAAACAAACTAGATGCCCATCAACCAAAAGATGGATAAAGAAAATGTGGTACATTTACACAATGCAGTATTACTCAGTGATTAAAACAATGATATCATTAAATTTGAAGGCAAACAGATGGAACTAGGGGGAAAAAACATCATCCTGAGTCAAGTAACCCAGACCCAGAAAGACAAACAAGGTATGTACTCCCTCATAAGTGGGTATTATTTGTAAAGGACAGCCATGCTACAGTGCCCAGACCCAGTGAGGCTAGGGAACAAGGAGGCCCAAGGGGAGCGGGAGGGAGGGGCGCATGTATTTCCCTGGGAAGGGCAAAGAGAAGAGATCTCCTGGGTGGAATGGGGGCAGGTGGGGATGGGAACTGGAGGGATCGGGTTGCAAGGCGGATGGAGAGGGAGACAGAGTACTGAACGAGATGACTGGGGGAGGGGGGTTCATGGTCAGGTAGAAATCTGATGCAAGAGAAACCCCATGAATCTACAAGGATGACCCCAGCTAAGACTGACTGCTAGCAACAGTGGGTACATAGCCAGAACTGGCCATCCCCTGTCATCAGCTGGTGACCACTCCAGCTGTCATCAGACAGCCTTCATCCAGAAACTGATGGAGACAAATGCAAAGACCCATGTTACAATAAATCTTTCGGCCAAAAGCCGACGAGCCCCACCGCCACGTGTGCGCTTTACGCCAGCTGCCCACCCAAGTTAGGGCCCAATTTAATACACGGAAACTTGTATTAGGTTCAAAGCTGCTTGGCCAATGACTAGGATTCTCATCTGTTAGCTCAGTCTTAATTATCATAAATCTATATATTTTATAAGACTTATCAGACACCTTCCATTGGTGTCCCTCCTAGCCAGTGGATCACATTGTGCCACCGGAGGAAGAGCGGAGGGAGAAAAGGACACTTCCTGTTTCTCCTTGCTTAAATGAGTCTCCTTGCTATGTCACTTCCTGCCTGGATCACCACTTCTTTACTACATTTCCCAGAATCCCCTTTGACTCCTAGTCCTGCCTCATTGGCCAAACAGTATTTTATTTATCATCCAGTAAGACAAACACATACACAGAAGTACTTCCCCCATTAGACCCACAGTGGAACATTAGTCTGAGCTCAGGGAATCCTGCGGAAGAGAGGGAAGAAGGATTGTAGGAGCCAGGGGGTCAAGGACATAAAAAGAAAACCTACAGAAACAACTAACCTGGCTCATAGGAGCTTACAGAGTCTGAACCAACAACCAGGGAGCCTGCTTGGGACTAAACTACACCCTCTACTTACATAACATGTGACAGTTATGTAACTTGGTCTACTTGTAGGACTTGTAACAATGGGAGCAGGGGCTGTCCCTAAGGCTTTGGCTGGCTCTTCAGAAGCTATTCCTCACACTGGATTGCCTTGCTCAGCCTAAATACGAAGGGAGGTGCTTAGTCTGACCTCAACTTAACATGCCATGCTTTGTTGATACCCATAGGAGGCCTGCCCCTTTCTAAACATAAAGAGAGGAGGGGTGGGTTGAGGTGTGGTGCAATGGGAAGAGAGGAGGGAGGGGAAAACTGTAGTTGGGATGTAAAATAAATAAGATTATAACAAGTGTCTAGGAAGAACCAGAAGACTCAGGCTAAGATAGAGGACAAAAACAATAATTCACATTGTACTTAATTACTCATAGGTATAGTTTCTAGTTACTGTAATATGAACAAACCTTGAGGACATGTCCAATAAGCCATACATTGAGGGGATCTAAAACATTCCTGGGCAGTGATGGCGCACACCTTTAATCCCAGCACTCAGGAGTTTTACAGAGTGCATTCCAGGCCAGCCAGGGCTACACAGAGAAAACTTGTCTCAGAAAAACAAAAAGGGAAAAGAATCAGACACTTGATCTTTTACAATTTTTTCTTCACTTAATGAGTTTCATGGAACATAATATTTTATAAATACAGCTATCCAAAACTAAGGCATTTATTGAGATAGAATAGTTTTAAAAGATACATTTCTTAAAATCTCTGCTATTGGTGGCTTGAAAGATGGCTCAGCAATTAGGAGTACTTGGTGTTCTTGCAGAAGACCTGGCTTCAGGCCCTGGCACCCACAGGATACTACATCACAGCCACCTGTAACTCTGCTTCCAAAGGCATCCAATACCCTGGACTGACCTCTGGCGGCACCAGGCAGACACATGGGACATACACATGTACACAAGCAAAATACTCATATACATAATTCTTTAAATTCAGGTATCTGACTAGGACCACTACTTACATCTCCATAATTAAAAAAAATTATTATTTTACAATCACTTCTAAAGGTTTATTTTTTTAAGATTTATTTTTAAGTCTGTGTATATGTGTCTGTGAGTGCAGGTACCCAGGGAGGCCAGAAGAGGACAGCAGATTCCCTGGAGCTGGAGTAAAAGGACCTAATTCTGTGTTGTAAATAGAATTTGTCCAAAAACAAAGTTAGAAATAAATAAATATATAACATGAAACTTAAGAGCTTTCTGGAAATTACAAATCTGGAGAATACTCAGCCCCGTCTGTTTGCTAGAATATAGATTTCATGAGATCAATGCTTCCCCGAATCGGTCAGTATGTGTGAGCTGCTGCTGCTGGCACACAAGTGTATGTGTGTGGGGGGGGGGGAGACAGGGGGTGTCTGTGAGAGAGCCCAGGGCTATGAGAGGCACTAGTGGTATTAAATAAGGGCTTCAGATAACCAGTAGTTCATTTCTCCACACAAGAAACTATTTATTACCTTATGGGGCCTTTTTTTTTTTTTTTTTTTTTTTTTTTTTTTTTTTTTTTTTTACTTCTTCTGTTTTTCCACATCATTTCACTACTATTTTCCTACAAGGCACTTAAAGTTATTGATAACAATAGGAACTACAACACTGACTGTTCCCTTGTGCTAGGCACTGTACTAAATGTTTTGTGTTTCTATAATCCCCACCAAATAGGAACCAT